TTACATGATGCCTCGAGGTGCGTCACGGTGAGTCTTTGATATGCCATGCCGAGGCGAGTGCTTCGAGGATAAGCCTCGGGCTATGCTTCGATCCCGTCGAGGCCAGTCTTGGAAACGTCATCGAAGCCTTAAAATCGGGCCTTACTGATTTTAACCGTATACACTTTAGATGGCCTTTATACCCACAGTGTTCACAAATTAGGCCTAGTTTCTTCCCTTTGAACATCTGTCCTCTACCCGCTAACATAGTCAGGGGATCTTTATTTGTTTCAAAAAATCCTAATGCTCTTTGACTTTCCTCTTGTACTGCAGCTGAATATGCCTGATTTACAGTGAGTACTGGCCTTCTCTACAAAATGTTGCTTCTTATTTGGCCGTAACTCTCATTCAGCCCCATAAGGAACTGCAATAGCCTCTGTCTCACCAGGTGATCGACATATGGCCTTGAACTCCTTACAATCACACGAAGGTAAGGGTGCTAGTATGTCTAATTCATCCCACAAATCCTTCATCTTTGAAAAATAGGAAGTAATTGAATTTGTACCTTGTCTAAGTGTCGCAATTTCTGTCCAGAGTTGATAGATCCTGGTCAAATTATCTTGGTCGAACCTTTCCTTGAACTCGTTCCAAACTTTCCTTGCACTCGCAGCATACATAATACTTGGCACCAATTCGCTTGATACTATGCTACTGAGCCATGAAAGTACCACCACGCTACACCTATCCCACTGTGCAGCTAACTCGCCTCTGTAAGAGCTCATAAGGCTAGGGGTGTGCATTCGAATCGGTTTATCGATAAATCGAATCGATTATGTTTTATCTAAATCGAAATCGAAAAAATCGAAACCTTATTGAAACGATAACGATAAGCATATGTACAAATCGATAATCGATAAGTAATTATCGATAAGGGTCAAAATCGAATCAATAAATCGAATTCACACCCCTAGACTGTAGACACTTGTTAAATGAGTAATTACCTATTTGTGTAGATTAATATAACATACAGAATGTATATATATTCCGATACAATTTTGAAAGCGGCTATACAATATTATTTTCCCTAATCTATACCCTTTCCTTTACCCTAAGTCCCTTACCCTATTATTTCCTCTACCACATTTAAGGAATGATCATATTTAAAGATCAACGGAATGAAGTTCAATTTAATGGAAAACAGAATTAGCCGTGATGATGTGTTTTGTTTTGTTTTATTTTTTTATAGCGTTGGAGTGTTGGTGGCATATATTTGATCCCTTACTTTAGTTTTGTTGCATGTGCTTGTTGACACAGTTTTTATATTATAAATGGTGTTCGCCTTATTTTAGCTTCTTTTTATCCATATTAGTTAGGCGCGTTTATAGCGATATACTTTCCGTGAAATCCCGCAAATTTTCTTATTGGTGTAATCGATAACCGAATCGATAAGCCCCCAAAATCGATAAATCGAAATCGAAAAAATCGAAACCTTATTGAAACGATAACGATAAGCATATGTACAAATCGATAATCGATAAGTAATTATCGAATCGATAAATCGAATGCACACCCCTACTTAAGGCAACAGCCATCCACAAAACCTAACTTGTTCTTCACCAAGAGTGCAACTTTTATCACCCTACTCCACAACACATAGTTCTCTGGCCCTGTGAGCTTTAGCGATACCAGTGTTGTTCCAGCCATGTCAGAATCTCGAAGGAATAGAGAATGATTATGAGTAGTTGATCGACCTCGTTGTTCGCCATTGTTGAGCTTCAATTTTCAGGAACGAGCTTTAGATCTACACAATTACAGTGATTGCCGCTCTGATACCATGTCAACTTATAGGACGCAAGTGGTGAAAACTGCCAATCCTCAGTAAATTGTATGAGATTTTAGAGAGAGAGAGTTAGAGAGAAGGAAGAGAGAAACTCGTGTGCTTCATTTTTCAGTTAACCCTGTTAGAGCACTAACTGCTCCTTTTAACTAACTAACTTCTCAATTTTTCCTTCACTACAATTTCATCCTCTAAGTCTCACTAATTACACATAGGTCCCTATCTTCTAGGTAAAATCTTTTATCACAAAACGTAAGCAGTTGAGAAAATGACTTTTTAGATCTTATGCGTAAAACACAGATCTCTTACGTGTAAAAATAAATTTTATGAATGTAAAAAATAAGAAAAAGAAATAGGATAATAAAACTAAAAATAAATTTATAAAGATTCATAGTACTATAAGCATTTTAAGGTAGTGAATAGCCACTAAAATTCTACGGCAATTTGCCTTTATGTGGATCAATTAACTAAAGAAGTACCAAAAGGAAGAAAAGGGAAAGTCTAAAGTTGCTTCACATTTTACGTAATTTTTTGTTAATCTAAAGAACACAGCTAGTTATATTTTCAATAATATCTAGCCTTCTCAAGTAGAAAATCTAAGAAAGAGCGTGACTACAATCTATTCAAATTAAACTGCTTACTATATTTGTTTTAATATATTATATCTAATTCTAACATATCTTAAAAGAATCTAATTACTTACTATCATTTCCACGAATAATACAATAGTTTCACCATATATGCTACATAAAATACTTAGTAGAGCTATATAAAATATTCTTAAACAGCTGCATCCTGATGTGCAAAAAATGAAGTCTTTAGTCAACTTGCTAATCTTCTGTTAGATTTTCTTAATTTCTTTTTCCTTCTGATGTATATTTTACGATTGAAAACCCAAAGAAGAAGAAAAGAGGGGCTTTTCTAGCACCTTAAATATAACGGAAATTATTCTTCATACAACTGATCAAACTAATTAAACATTTGATTACTATCATGTGTGTCACGATATCCTTTAATTTACTTAACATCATATTTTTTATTTCTAAGTTAGATAGAATAAAGAGCATTATTATTGAGTAGTTAAATAGCCCCTCCTTGTTCGTTAATTAAGGAATCTTAGCGTCGTCAGAAGATGTAAACTGAGATGATTTTGTTCGTTAATTCCTTTACGAAATCCACAACCTGTAATTGGATTTATAATAATCCGTATAGTATTCTATGAGATTGAAATGTTGTATAATTTTTACGATTTCGTAGTAGCTAAGGAACAACATGCAGACCATGCCTCCACTTAAGTAATACAGCAAGAGTTAAATACAACTTTATAATAATTGGGTCAATCCTACATCTTTTTAAACATTAATTAATTAAGAAATTGAGATCATGGGATTAGCAAATCTCTTAGTTTAAAGCAAGTAGTAATGCCAAGTAGAAAATCTAATGAGGAGAATTTTTAATTCATTAAGCTTTTATCAATGCTAATTTGTATGTAACTACAAGTAGTTTATGTATGGCCAAGTTAAAGGGCTGAGGCCTCAGGAGTAGCAATATTTTGAGTAATTATTTCAATCTAGTAATATGTTTTATTTAATTTCTTATTTTTGTTTTAGAAATTCATACCTAATTGCAATCTATTATCCGTGCTTATTATAAGGAGGTCACAAATACAAATCATAGTATAGACAAGTGACAACTTCAAAGCAAAATTTTGTTATTTGCTAGCCACTTCTAGTTTATTCAGACGATCGATAATTTAATTAGCGTTATTTCTCTACTATTATTTTGTTATATCAGTTATTTAAATTGTTGCAAGATTTGACAAGTTGAATTTTGCAACTTATTATTAATTTTTTTTTTAATAAATATTTTTGAAATTTCCAACAAAATGCGCGCGAGCAATAAAAAAACGGAGATGTCAATTTTCACGCATTAGGAATATGCCACCAATAACTAAATGGAACTGTCAATTCCCAAGGAATCCAACCCCCCCCCGACCCACAAACACACACAAGAAAAATAAAGATATTGGCGTGTAGAGCGATGGCCTTAATTTATTTACTTAATAATATGCTAGAGAATAGTACTACATATTAAAATTTACTACAATAATCAATTTATTAGATTGCCTCATCATGAGGAATCTCCGTCTTAGATTTAGATGATAGTGCTATTATTTCAATGAAATAATATATATCTAATACCAAGGCTTGTTCCTTTCTTGACGAAATCTACAACTTCTAATTAATATAGTATATATATAGTAATAGTTCCACAAATTCCATGAGAGTGAGGTGTTCTTCAACATTTTAAAACATGCGATTTGCTATAGAGAATTAATAAGCCAGTCATATACTTGATTTGTAGAACAAGATTTTTTTCTTTAATTTTTCTTTTGGGGGAAATTGTCCCATTTCCCATCTCTCTTCTCTTACAACTCCAAGTCTCTCCAACTGGGTGAAAAAGAGACCAAATATGGCAGCCCAACTTGCGGCCGCTGGCATTTCGATTGGACTTTGGGCTTTTAAATTAGGATATAAAAGAGAAAATGAGAAAATTTTCATTTGGGCTTGTTAATAAGAAGAGTTTCACGGGCTAGTCCAAGTTCTACTGTTTGCATGAAATGAAGCCACTTTTAAGTATGTTGTTTAAAATATATCCACAATTTACAATGTATTTAAAGATTAGCCAATTTCGCTCAAACTTCAGGACGCAACGTCCAAGATTTTAAACTTCAAAGTTCAAACTTAAGGATATCGTGTCATAAAGTTCGAAAAAAATGTCCAAAAATTCGAATCATATTTCCTGAATTTTAAATTAGTGGTTCAGAAATGCAGGACTCTTAGTCCTGAATTTCAAATTAGCAGCTCAAAATTCGGGACACTATGTCTTGATTTTTAGCAGAAATTCAGGACTCTTAGCAGCTCTAAATTAATTGGCTAATCTTTAAATATGTTGTAAATTATGGATATATTTTAGATAGCGGGCTTGAAAGTGACGATTGTTGTACTTCGCGACTGTTTGCTGAGTTGCATCTAATCAGTTATGGGCCAATCTGTCCAATAAAGGGCTCGACCCGGAAATTTCATGTTTAGTGCCACAATCAACCAGAATTTTAAAAGATAAAAGCACATTGTTTTAAAGCATGTCGAATTTTAATGCTGTCCAAATTTTGAAGCACATTACCAGAATTAAAAAATTTGGCAACTGTTCTGGTAGCATACTTCAAAATTCTGCTAGTGAATTTCAAAATTATACGTGAAAAATAAACCGTTGTCCTAAAAAAATTCTAGAAAAGACTTTTTTAATTCAAAGCCTCAAAGGTTCCCTCCAAATATGTGGTGTAAATTAACTGTAAAACTTCACATGTGCCACTTTATCAACCACATAGTATTTTCAGTTTTTTATTTGCACTCGTAAGAAGCAAGATTAATTTAGCATTGTTACCTTATTCTCACTCAATTGTGGGAAGATGGACTCTTGTTATTTCGCTGTGACAAAGCCATCATCTTCTTCTTCAGCTATTCTGAATTTTCAGGTACATTTTTTTCAATATGCCCCTTTATTTGTGTCCTTTTTCTGTGTTATGGGAATCTTTAGTGTGTAGAGGGAGGCAAAACAAAATTATTTTCCTTTTTATTTTGAATTGAAGCTCATAAATTTTTTGATGCAGTTGATTGAAATTTGATTCTTTCTGGATACAGTGATACTTGTGTGCAAGAATTTGTCTTAAGCTGGTATAAAAGTGATAGAAATGCTTAGGGACATATTTGATGAGTTCTGTTAATTATCTATACGCTTGTATGTCGGCATATATAATATGTGGCTTAGAACCGGTGGCGAAGCCAGAAATTTCTTCAAGGGTGTTCAAACTTGAAATAAGTAAAAAAATTCCGAAGAAGGGTGTTCAATATATGTTATGTACCTCTAAAACCTAATATTTTACCTATATACGCAATGTAATTTTCCGACAAAGGGTGGTCAATTGACCACTCTAAGCAAAGTGTGGCTTCGCCCATGCTTAGAATCATTGATGATTCATTATACATTTCCTACAACTGTGCAAAGTGTCCAAAAATCAATCTTTATAACTAATTTTGTTAAGAAGCTAATGTTAAACCCATAATGTAGTTGTCTTCTACATGAAACAGATGTATAATTGGGGTTTTATAGGGCAGAAAGTATTAGAGGTGAATGAAAACTAAGATTTTGTCTGAGGGGTTTTCACTGGGGTGCTGTGTTTCTCTTTGGCTTCAATTTGACATCGAGAATGCGAGGTACTTGGTTTGTTACATGAATTTATTAACTCGTCAGTAGTTTCTACCATGAGAAAGAGACTCCATTAGAGAAATTTGTTTATCAAATTCTTATGCAGACACCATTTTGGTGAGTTATCTCCTGTTTTGTGATGCATTTGATGAAATCATAGTTCCACAATGTAGAGTATAATATGGATTCATTTAAGTGTTGAGAAAAGGTTTAGACGTGCAATTTATTTGAAATGCTAATTGGACTTCAGATTCATCTGTCAACTGCTTGCATTGCTTCATCTCTTTTTTGTGTATCCTTTCCTCCATTCTTGGCAGTTCCTAAATTTTAACAGTTCTACTTTCGTATGTGGTAATGAATTGCAGGGTGTTTCATCTGTTGGTGTAAGATCGTCCCAGAAATCCTTACGTGCCGCCCCTTCTCAACTTTGTTGGCCATTTTCTAGACCTAACAAGAAATATCAAAATTTTCTTTATAGGCGGACCTCGCAGAATCTTAGATTCAAGACATTGAAGGGGCCCATCTTGGCAGAAGCTGGAAAACAAGGTTGGGATCTTGGCAGATTTATAGAGACATTGTATTTTTTTAATGGCCCTCCTTCCCCTGCAAAGTTCTTTGAATCTCTGATTGAGAAGCTAACTGGTCCATCACCTAGTACACCAGTCAACTCAATGGATTCTTCCGGAATTACGCTGGTAACTGGAGCCACAGGTGGAGTCGGGAGAAGAGTGGTCGACGTGTTACGCAACAAAAGATTGCCTGTCCGAGTACTCGTACGTTTCTTCTAATTTTTTCTACCTTTATATTTCCTTTATATGATTTGATTTAACTCTCTTTCTGCTTACTAAATAGAAAAACATGTTCACTCTCTATTTGAACTGACACTCTTCTTCTTGACATTCCTAAATACTTGTAGGTCAGAAATGAAGAGAAGGCAAGAAGAATGCTTGGTGAAGATGTTGACCTGGTAAGTATTCTTTTCATCTTATTCTCACTTTTTCTACTCTGATATCAAGCATCGTTTTAGTTATGCCCATTATGGCTTGAGAGTAAGAAATTGATTCTTCTTCTCTGATTCACAAATAATGAATAGATTAGAGAAGAATGGAAAAGACAAATGTTACAAATACTAAGGTGGTTATTTTCTTTTGCTCTTGCTATGAGGGTCTCTTATCTAATTCCATTAGTTGATCTTTTGAGAAACTTACTGATGAATAGTGATAACTGATTGATAATATTTCTTAACATCAAAGGCCCTGAATTGCCTCTTTTCAAATTGACTAGCCACTAGAGTTATGAAACTTGCTGGGATAGGTTAACTAAGGAATCCAACTAGAAAAATAATTCCACACAGATAATGGCCACTCATGTAGTTATTCTGTCACAATGGATAAAGGTTTCAGCTGTATGATAGGCAAATAATGGAAGATTATATTCATACTGCCTAATGATTGAAACCTCATCAAACTACAAACGAATGGATAGAACTCTGGCAGTGGGTTGAGTAGAAAGTTATAATTTTGAACTGTTTTTTTCTGATGAAAGAGTCTCTTGTAATCAATAGCTCAAGAGTTGTTTGTGAATATTAATATCTTATACTAAAGAGCATACAAGTATACTTGTTGAGTTGCTGAGTGCATTCCTGGATATTTTCATTGGAAATGGAGAAAGAATGATATGTTGTCTCAATTGCAACTGATGGTTAATAAAGAAAAGCAAAGAGAACATTTTACCGCTCCTGAGAGATATGCTTCTGCTAGAATGAGAGTTGCTAACTAGTGTTCATATTGTTGTACTCTTTATTCCCCTGTCAACATTGCACTCTCTAACAAACATAAAGCTCTATGTCAGCTGGGATATCTTGTTACCTTTTAGAATTGACCTTTCCTGTATTATCTCTTCGAAAATGCAACTGCGCCTTCCAAAATGAGTATTCTCTGTCCTTGTCATTCACTACCTTCTGTTTTTTTTTCATTAATATTACTTCAACATGAAAAGCCATATCTGGACGAACACACAGTTTTTTATTGCAGTACACCCACATATTCAACAAAGTGAAATTGTGCATTTCTTTACTGAATTTTAGGTTGTTGGAGATGTTACCAAATCAAGCACTCTGCTTCCCGAGTACTTCAGAGGAGTAACGAGCGTAATTAATGCTGTTTCTGTAATTGTTGGCCCAAAGGAAGGGGATACCCCTGACAGGGCAAAATACAGTCAGGTAAATAAGCTGTAACTTTTGACAAACCCCTTAGTGTATTTCTTTGTTTTTGTATTCAAACGAATTTACATCAGTCTGTTGCTAGACTGTAAATTCTACTCTTGGTCCTTCTTTACCCAATATTACAATCACTTCTTTTTCTTTTTTGTCATGGTATGTGTTCATTGGTTTCATAACTTTTAATATTGCTTCTTGCTTATGCTGTACTCTTGATGCGATTTGCAGGGAATCAAGTTCTTTGAACCCGAGGTGGCCAACTGATTGCCTATCCTTGGAGTCATATTGTACTGTTACCATTCCAATTTTATAAGCTAACTTGGGTGTTAGGGCACCAGTTCACTAAGCATCCTTGTTTACTTGGCAGAACAGATTAAGGGTGACTCACCCGAAATGGTGGAGTACATTGGAATGAAGAATTTAATAAATGTCGTCAAAGAAAATGTTGGCCTTCGCACAGGAAAACTAGTATTTGGATATGAAGGTATGCTGTTGCAGACTGAAGAATCCATTGTTGAAATATTATCATTGGCTCTAAAAATCAGTTGTCAACATTAGAACAAATTGCAAAAATCAACAGAATGAAAGTTTTTCAATTTTCTTATTATACCATCATGGAGCGAAACAGCTGAGCTCTGTTTAAAGGAAAGATTTATGTTCCCTGATCTGTGTATTCAAGAGTATCTTGGAGGCAGATACTTGAGCTGGAAAAATTATACTTGGAAATTATTTACATTAAATTTCATAAGAAATAACATCTGCATTTTGGGAAGCTCTAGTATCAGTTCATACGATCTTCTTGCGTTTTTTTTTCTTTTGTGGGGGTAGTCAGCGTGAGGTGGGGTTGGGTGTTTTTTTTCGGGGGTGGGGGTGGGGGGAATGATGGGAGGGATTATATATGATCTGCTTGCTCTTATGTGATTGATCAGTGTCAAAGTTTTCATTGGTATGGAATAAACTCCCAGCATAGTTGCTCTTCCTTTCTCGTCTTTGAGCTGCTTTATTTTCACAGTTTACCCCATTATAATGTTGTTTAGTTTCACCCAATAGATTGACTTTGTTCAGTAATTCCATGCAGGTAATTCATTTAAAGAACTTCCTTGGGGTGCTTTGGATGATGTTGTGATGGGTGGAGTGAGTCAAAGTACATTCCAGATAGATCTAACTGGTGGGGAAAATGGTGGACCAACAGGGCTCTTCAAAGGTTATCTTTCCTGATAGATAAAATATTCTGGGTGATATTTTGTTAGATTTCTATGGGGTCGTGGTGATCTCTAATTATTAAATTATCAATTTGACATGTTTGCTGTTTGTTCAGGAGTTGTTACCACTGCTAACAATGGAGGTTTTGCCAGTATCAGGACAAAGGTAAATATATTTTTTGTTACCCTAATTTTCTGCTTTGTTTTACTCGCTTTCTACTTCATGTTTGGTTTTGAAGCTTTTGACGATTGAATCATGTTATTTGACATGCCTGAGGCTTAACTTTGATTTCTATGCGTGAGGCTTAACTATTCACTTATCAGTTGGATGGAATTTTTATTGTTAACCCCAGAACATTATTGTCCGTCTTTTTGTTTTTAATTCCTCTTTGAGTCTTGCAATCTTACTGGATTCGAGCTCATAAGCAATTACCTAAAAGTAACCTGAAAAATTAAAGATTCTAAGATCCTTTGCAATACCTTGTAGTCTTTAATATCTTTTTTTTCCTGTCGCTTTCCTGGTATTTCAGCAATTTGAAGAATAATATTTCAGCTATCATATTCAGCGCAGAGCATAATAATGCTCTTCATGAATATACTCAAAAGCTGAATCACTTTTTCTCTTATGCCAAGATTGATACTTCCTCTTATAATTACATTGTTGTCTCTCTTGTTTAGGTGATATTTGCATTCATCCCTTCTGTTAACTTGTATGGTTGAAACCTTGAACATTGACAATTTCTAGCGAATGTTGCTGGCGAAAAGCAATAGAATAGCTTCTAACTTCCTGAAGGCCTTGTGAGTAACATAATTTGTGAATTACAGTAGGATGAAGAGGCAATGTTAGCAGAGCCAAAACAGTCAACTGAAGCACTAATTATCCTTTATGTAAAGTTTTCACTGTTGAACTAGTGACTCTGACCCCAATATTCTAGGCAGATTTAAAATTCTTGATACATACCATGTATCCTACAGCTTCAGAAAATTTTAGCAGTTCCCTTGAGTTGATGGCGCTAGATGTGTTAGAAATGTACGATAGTCAATAGCATTATGAAGGGACCTTATAAGGGTTTTAGTCACATGGACATTGAGATTTGAGCTATACCTTCCAGCTTTAACTTCTTGTTTCTACTTCTATTTATCTGTTTCTTATGAAGCTCACCCTAGCCATGTTCCAGTAGCCTTATGTCAACAGCCCAAAGAGCGGTTTCTTGTGGATTGTATTGTTCCTAACTAACTGGAAGTGTTTTTCCTTTCAATGATTTCTGATTTTCACTTTGAGACAACATTCCTGTTATATTTCAAGGTTAAATTCATTAATGAAGCTAGTATGTGGAGACTTACGCTTTATTTGATTACCTAATGGAAAGGGGAAGGGTGAAGTAGAGATGTTCATTGACTTACCTCCTTAGATGGAGTACCTATCAACGAGTTTTGGTTTTCAGTGTAGGGAAATGATATATGATCGCTCCTAACTATCCATAATAGCAAAGCTAGAAATATCCAACATGGAGGGGTATCCACCCTCCCCCTATCATTTACTTCTTTATCAAACATGGAAGATGGCTATACCTTCCTTACATCTTTCCCGTTGAGGCCCCAATTGTGCATAGTAACAAGCTGAATATTACTTCCTATAAAGTGACTTAACCAGTAAGGGTTTTCGACTTTTCGTTATGCTTTTATGGCTGGTAATTTAACACCAAACTGCAGTTGCATGTGAGATGTAATTTTCATGAGCGAAGCTCGAATAGCAAGCTTAACCTAGAGCTAACTGAACCTTTTGCCTAGATCACAATAATCAGGGAAAGATAGTTACTTTCTGATCAGGGTTTTGACTAACTTTCTGTGTGTGCAGAACTTTTCTGAACCTGAAAATCTTTCTGCTTATGATGGTTTAGAGTTGCGCCTTAAAGGTGATGGCCGTCGTTATAAGCTTATTGTTCGCATTAGCCGTGATTGGGATGCTGTGGGTTATACATCGAGCTTTGACACCATTGAGGGTTGGCAATCGGTTAGTTATTGTGAATTTCAGCAATTAGTCGACTTTCCGAATGTCTAAATTTTATCATAAGTGCATCATTTCCAGGTCCGTTTGCCTTTTTCTTCTTTGAGGCCTATATTCCGAGCACGAACTGTACTAGATGCACCGCCTTTTGACCCCAGTCAAATCATGTCATTACAGGTATGTTATATCAGCAACTTACCTTTTTTCATCTTTGCGCACTCTATTCCAGCTTTCTGCATTTTCATTTTTCATGTTAAAAAATTGCAGCTTATGTTCAGCAAATTCGAATCTGATGGTAAACTGAATCCAACTTTCAAGGAAGGTCCTTTTGAACTTCCTGTATCATGCATTCGGGCTTATCTTAAAGATCCCATAACTCCCAGGTTGGTATCTAGATTCCACTTTTATATAGTTAGTTTAAACTTGCATCAGTGGAGTTCTCTTCCTTGATTTTTTGGCTTGTATTTAAACTTGAATCTGTGCATTTTTCTTCCCTGATTTTTCAGTTTTGTACTAACTCTTTTGTTCTGCAGGTTTATACATGTCAGTTCTGCTGGTGTAACTAGACCGGAAAGACCAGGAATTGATTTAAGCAAACAGCCTCCAGCTGTGCGATTGAACAAGGAATTGGGCTTCATCCTGACATTCAAGTTAAAGGTTTGTATCTCAAGTATTCCTACTACTTTTACAACGAGCATAAATGCGTTGATAATTCTGCTGCTGCCTAATGGTTAGGTTACTGATCCACCCAAAAATAAAAATGCTTAATGGTCAGGATAAATGTGATATATTCCCAAATTCTGAGCCTGCACTTGTGCGTAGTAAAATGGGAATATGATCTTTTAGATAAAATGAATTTATTATTTAAGAATATTAAATGGTGGTTGAGATGGATGATATTCCCGATCCAGTGTCTAGGACTCAATAATAGAGATTTTGTCAGCGATTGAACACAGATGGTTAGCTTGCATCATTTCCCAGTTAACCAAAGTTGCATTTACAGCTGCTGGTATTGTCAAGTGCTACCCCTGTTGAAAGTTGTCCTAAGAATTTTAAACATATACAAAGAAGTTAATAGTGGTAATTAAGTAGGAGATAGAGCCTTCTCCTTGGTATGCATTTCTATCTATACATCTACCCTGCCCATTTTATAACAGCGATTCCATCTTGTTTTACAATAAGTATTCTATCTATGCAGGGTGTTCAAACTTTAAACAAGTCAATAAACTTTTTGTTGATAAATGGTGTACCAAAATTTGTAGATCAAACTACGCAATATTTAGCTAAACAATAAAAAAAACTTTTAATAGAACTAGAACTTTAGAAATCAAAATTAAAATCAGAAAAAGACAACATTAGAAATTTTACTATTAAAAGTAGCATAAAACTAAAGGAAAGAGAGAGTCGAGAGGACTTGTAGTTTGTAGGGAGCTTTTGTTGAAGAAATTTTTGTAGAGCTTGATTTTTAAATCGTAAAATTTATTTAAGAAATAACTTTTAGCTAAAAGATTACTTTTAACATTAGTTTATTTCTACTCAAGTTTTAAGTTATAAGAGTTATTTTATTAGGAAATATTTTTAGATTGAAAAGAATCAAATAGACCACTCGGTGGTATCCGTTTAGTTTTGCAAATAAAATGGGCATAACTTTGAACCCCTGAACAACACGTTACATTGAACACCCTAAACTGCTGGGCTGCTTCACCCAACTGTGTTAAGGGTGCTCAAAATATAATATATAACCATATAAAGTAATATTTAACTTATATACGCAGTATAATTTTTTGGCGAAGGGTGTGTGCTTGACCACCCTTGGCATAGGGTGGCTACGCCACTGGTCTTAAGTGTTCTGCTATTTGTGATCCTATTCTCACACAGATAAAGGTTCTTGCCAGGGGGAAGATGAGATTCGAGAATCTGGCATACCATATACAATAGTCCGGCCTTGTGCCTTAACTGAGGAGCCTGCAGGAGCTGATCTCATTTTCGATCAAGGAGACAATATCACGGTATTTGCTCAGAAATTAAAGTTGTTTTCTGATTTATAGCCTTGTGGAGCCTGTGTAATTCTTTTTATGTTATCCACAAAGTCCAGTTGAAGATCAATTTGTATAATGTTGGTGAGCAGTGGTGGAGTTGCCCTATTCATAAGATGTTTAATTGAATCATCTTCACTGAAAACTCACTGCTTACTTTGGCAATTATATTTTTAAAAGTAAAAATATTGGTATATATACATGTTATTGAATCCCTTGACCCATGGAATGTGTCTTGAGCAAATCTTGTGTTCAGACCCCATTAGTACCTCTTTTGTTGTTTTTTCCAGAGCCCCCTTAGTGTAATTTCTGGATCCGCCCCTGTTGGTAAGTTCTCTAACTTCTCATGAGAACATTCATATCTGATATGTACAGGGGAAGATATCCCGCGAAGAAGTTGCTCGGATATGTGTGGCAGCACTGAAAAGCCCCTATGCATGTGACAAGACATTTGAGGTGGTGCTTGTCCTTTCAACACGACATATAATTGCTTATTCCTTATGTTTTGCTTATTATCTGCAGAGTTATATTTGCCTAACAAACATAACGTATAGCTAGCTTCTCTTGATTGCCAGTACCTCTAAACCACATTTATGGCATCTTATACTTGTCTTTCTTCCAATGTCAAATCATTGGCTAGGTGGAAAATGTACTCCATATAATCCATCTTTAAGGTCTCGTTGTCTGGATGACCATCATTTTAAGCAGAATTTTAGGATATTCAGGCAAATTCATGTATCTAAATTCATATGGACCGGTGGCAGAAATTTTTTTGATGGTTCTGGAAGCGGTGACAAATAGCAGCAATTTGCTGAAGTGTGTACATTTCATGTATACTATGTAGCTCCAATTAAATTTAGAGGAAAAGAACTGCTATTAGAATTTCAGTAGATTCTCGCAAGTACATTCTATCTTCTTCCTTCGTTAGTCTTGACACTGTCATGACAAAACTTATACACTGGCTGCGGGTTCAATTGATACATGCACACTTATATATCTTCCATGAAAGTTAAACATGAAAATACAGTTTCCTGCAATGGGTTTGAAATCCTTAGAATTGTTTTAGGCTTTCCGACCAACTGTTTAGTGATCTAAGTTAATTGAGAATTGCAGGATCTGATCTATCTATTTTCCAGTTTGCTCATGGGAGAAAAAGAAGGACAAGCGTTGAACAGAAATGAATTATCTTTATCTGTACTAAGTTGCTAAAATCTCGCTTGTTTCCTCTGGTAGGTTAAAAGTGTCATTCCATTTAGTGAGCCTTTCACGGTGGATCCAGAGAACCCTCCTCCAGAGAAAGATTACAATGAATACTTCAAGACTTTGAAAGATGGCATCACTGGGAAAGAAAGCCTTGAGAAAACTCCGATCCCTGTATAAGAACCAAGGGTGGTATGTTCATTTTCTTCTACTGCTCCAACATATATTGAATGGGGAAGCATATGAGAATTCTTACTAGTTCACAAGTTGCAACAGCATTATGCAGAGCAAGATTTTGGAAGTTCTTTTAGTTTTCTTTTAGTAGATGTAAGTAAATACCCTTTTTCTATTAATAGAACAAGATTTTGCTTTGGGATTCAAGACCTGAACCGTGAGAACCGAGATTAAGGTATGCTGCATCATCCCCTGAAGGCAGAAAGAAGGTGTATTTGTACGTATTCTTCACTGGCATTAGTTCAGTCCCATGTGGATATAAATAGTTGAATGTCTTGCATGGGAACGCCGCGAATATTAATATATTGGCATATGATTATCCCGTGAATTATTATTTACTGTTTGTGAAGTGCTGATACAATAAGCTGTATTTAAGAGCATGCACTATCCGTCTTTAATCTACGATATTACGCTGAGAACTATTTTCACCTAATCTTGCAGCTTTATGTATCCTGATATTACCCTTTTTCTGGGAGGGTCTGTCTAATGCACTGTTCGCTGCATGAACAGCGAGCAATGTGAGAGACCAGTGGATAACTTGGGCTAAAATTGGCCCATATCCAAATCTGGTGCAACTGTTGCTAGAGGCGGATTTAGGATTTAGTTTGTGGGTTTAAAATGCGCATGACCGATATCCGTCTAGCACACTGTTATGTCTCATGCAAGATGACATCATTAGAGAAAAAATAGAATAATAAATCTTATGAGTAAGAAAAAAGTAACCAAAGATGTAGTTGAGTATACTATAATGTTGAAGTTCTGTGTTCTCCGGAGGAATTTAACCCTATGGGACAAAACATGATATACTGAAGAGTAGGGGTGGGCATAATTTGGGCAAACCCGAAATTCAAACCGAAATCCGAATTTTTTGAATTTTTGGTTTGGATTTTCGGATTACGGATTGGATTTTGGATTTAATTTTAAAAAATTTTGGATTTCGGATTGGTTATTGATTTGGTACTTCAAATTTTTGGATATTCGAAAATTCGAAATTTTTATACTTTGTATTTAGTCCATTATCCATATGTCAATAGTAAAAGTTCAATACCCTGCCCATTAGATATTATCTCATATATCCAATATTAATTACTAAATTATTGTGAGAATACTTTCTATTTGAACATGATTTTACTATTTCTACTTCTTATCGGTCGTATTAATCATGTCTCTATTGTATTTTTTATTTATAATAATTTCATTATTTGAATACTTCATTTGGATGATTGCCGTGAGAATGAGAAACTTTTCAGACAATTTAAAACGAATATTTTATTTGGTTTTGTAAAAAGAAGGAACATCTTAACTTATAAGCTCAAAATCAAAAATCCAAAATATCCAAACCGATTAATCCGAAATGGAAATTAAAAAATCCAATCAAATCCAAACTTATTTGGATTGTCATTTCTTCAATCCGAAAATCAAAAATTCAAATCAAAATTTTTAAATGTATTCGAACTGCCCGAAAGCTTGTCACGCTAATAACGTGTCATAACATGAATATGGAAAGCCTTGGTTTTTTATTTGCATGTAGACCTCCCTTTTTTTTGCCATGATTAGAGGCGGAGCCGGGATTTCAAGCTTATGAGTTCGGGATTCTAATCGTTTTAATTTACTGGGTTCTAAATTAATAATTTGTACATAATCAATGGATTTTCAAGACAAATACAAGATTCGAATCAAAGTTACAGGGTTCGGCCGGACCCGCTCCAAACACTCTAGTTCAGCCCCTGGCCATGATATTAAGATATTAAAATGCAAATGTAGCTTATAGAAAAGAATTTTAAAATTAAGTAGGAAAACAATAGTGTGTGAGAACAATATAATTTAACCAAAATATATTAATATCTGAAAACAACCCAAAAGGATTTTTATGTCTAACACAAAAATTATGTAATTGTTATGAAACAATAAAAGAAGAAGAAGAGTATTGCAAAGAAAAGTAGAGAGAGCGAATTCTTATTGCTTTGAGATCAATTACAATGTAATAGGATCCCTTTATATATAGGGAAATGGTGACTTAGCCAGCAAGTAAAATCCGTAAAATCTCTCTAAAATATAGACATTCACCTTGAATAGAATTCTATTTATAACACTCCCCCTTGAATGTCTATTCAACAGATAATGTGCCTCGTTAAAATCTTAACTAAAGTAAAACCTAGTGGGAAAAAAAATTCTAGAGAAGGAAAAAGAGTACACATATCTAACAATACGCTTTTTGGTTGCCTCGTTAAAAACCTTGCAAGGAAAACCCAGTGGGACAAAACCTTGTAAGGAAAAAAGAGTACAACGCGTATTAACTCCCCCTGGTGAGAGCATCAACTCACATCCTTGAGCCTTTGCATTCTAATATTGTGCACCATCTTCAAAAGATCGTTGGTAGAGATCTGATAAACAAATCAACCATATTAACTTGAACGAATTTGTTTTACCTTGAAATCATCATCCCTGATAGATGTATATTCTTCATATGATCTTGTTGGAATCGTCATTTCAATATCTTCACATAGGGGTGAAAACTCTTGCTATCATATTATCACGCTTATAGTTATAGCAAAATACATTTGTGCACAAATGGCCCTGAGGAAGTAGTACTTCAAGATCAAGAATTGTAAATGCTTCAAGCAACTTAAATCCTTCACGAATTGTCATATAAGTTAAGTCATATTAGCCATATAATAGACTTTAGATGCATATCAAGTTTTCATGTCATGCTAGACATATAAGATATCAAAAACTGATTGCACATACCATTGGCTTTATACTTTCAAGTGTTTGAACAACATAGAGTCTTTTATATGAAACCAATTCTATTTGAATTGTGTCTCTTCCATTTGGCCAATATTTTTGTGTCTGTATTCGACAGACTTAAGATCCTCATCTATACTTAGCGCTATCATAGATGTCATCGACGAACATTTATATCAGTTTCAACATTTTTTCATAAAGACATGACATAGAGATCTCTTCATTCATATTTTCAGGTACCTCAATATCTCTTGAGACTTTATGAAGTGTTATGCCATGTGATCTTCTAGATCACTTGCCTCCTTATTATGATCATTTGCTCATCTTCTTTATCAAGAAGTTTTATTTGAAATCGATTGTCTATACGCTTTAAATGTACCATAGGCTTTGTCCCTCTAGGACTTATTCTAATAGAAGCATTTGGAGTGAGAATATAGTTACTTTCTTTGGGTCAGCAAATGCATCTGGCATGCTTTGCAACATACTGCAGATGAATTATCTTTTTATGAACTTCAAGTTCATATTATCTTATTCGAGGATCTAGATGTACAAATGATAATTCATTCCACGTAACTTTTTCTCAACTGTTTATCATGTCTCCCCCTCATGTTAGAAAAATAACTTGTTTCCTCAACTTTGAGAACCCATCTTTGTGCGTTATGGTGTTAATCAAAATATACACCGCACATCAGTAATAATAAGACGGAATTATTTGGTTCCTGACCCTGAACCACTTGTGAGGGGAGAAATTAATATACTTTCATATATAACGTATATTAAACTGATATATATAACTTTGTTCTCATAAGAAATAGTTTAGCTATTAAGTGGAGGCACTCAATAAATCATTTTGCTAAAACAATTGTGTTGTAAACCAACTTATCAAGACGAACTGTCTTGAATAGAAAATCTGGAAATTATGCTCGAAATTAAATTATTGAGCAAGTTACCTCGTAAACATCGGCCAGCTTGCGGGTTATTAATAATCGCACATGTAACCATCTCATAGATGCATCTTATGTGGTATACATGGCAGGTGCATAAGCCCATATTCACCTTTGAATTCCAGAATTCATGGGATTCAATCCCAATTTTAGTTGGTCTATTAATTAATAAGAACAAGCAATGTAAGATAATTCATAAAGAACTTTCTAGTTCTTTAATATTTACCCATGTGAGTTCTCTTTTATTTTTGCACATCATACTTAAATTAACACAACTAAACCAATTATGCCAACTGAATAAATTATCCATATTGATAAATTTCAGATTTACACCATGACGTGTGCACTTATCAATAAACTCCAAGTTTATTATGATATGGGTTTTTATATCAATAAACTTATTTATTTATTAAGATATAAATCTTTCCTTTATTTATAGTCTCAATATAACCAACCGCTTACGAGAATACTTTAGAAACTCAATTAAGTTTCTTTGAGACTTACTACAACACAATGTTTTATTGATAATCAATTTTATTCCTCCAAAATAGTAATACTCTTCCAAAGCTCTCAGTTAATTTGGTACTACCACATATTCATCAACATCCATATGCTGAATATCTCTTTTAAAGAAAAAGTTATACCATTATGGTCATGGTCAGAATTTTATACAAGATTTGTTCCTTGCATTACTGTTGCCCTTTAATAATCACATCGTCAAAATATTTTGGCATACAATAGGTATGTGACCAATGACCATTCTTGCCATAATAATGACATTATTTTCTTATTTCCCCTCAAACCTCATTATAGAGTCAAGTGTGGTATATTCACTACCACTAGCACTTTCATATTCTTCAAAAATGAATATGCATTCATAAATCACATGTTGTCACATTCACATCATGAATGGACCATAATCTCATGTCAAAACAATGACAAATATTACTTTCACAAAGTGAAGGATTATTTTGAGAATACTTATTGTTCTCATTACCACAATGATGACGATTATAATTTCGTCTATTGCCACGTCTACATCCATTGATACATTCATGGTAATAATTTTGTCTTATTTCAGACGTATCATATACTGCTATCACATTCTCTTAAGGAATGAGAATGAAGCGAATTCAATGAGACGGGTTTTCACTTCTTGTGCTCACAATCATACACGAATTTGATCATGGCAAGACATAAAAATTTTACCACTTCGAGTGGTTATAATTTCTTACTAACTCCATTAAAGTTATAATCAAAATTTATTGTCTTTGCTTGTATTTAAAATCAAATTATAGAATAAAAGAGAAAAATACGGTAAAATACTTACCTTAAATCCAAAATTCAATCATGAAGGAAGTTCATGAAACAATTGACAATCATTATGCTCAATCCCAAAGCTTCTACTCAATTGGTTAGAGTCTCGTGCTAATAACGTGTTATGAAACAATAAAAGAAGAAGAAGAGTATTGCAAAGAAAAGTAGAGAGAGCGAATTCTTATTGCTTTGAGATCAATTACAATGTAATAGGATCCCTCTATATATAGGGAAAGGGTGACTTAGCCACCAAGTAAAATCCCTAAAATCTCTCTAAAATATAGACATTCACCTTAAATAAAATTCTATTTATAACCGTAATTAATTTTTCCAAAAAATTAATTTCCATATGAATTAAAAAGAATAGATCCGAACATTAGAAATAAAGGAGTTGTTAGCCGTGATGACCG